CGGGCGAGACGAAAGCGTCGGTCGGTCCGTGCCGATTGCCGCGCGCGCGCCTATGTAAACGCGACACCGCATCGAGATACCTGCGTACCGCCACATCTCTGTGTTAACATAATGCATCGAGCAGACGCGCGTCTCTTTGATGGAAGGAATGTGTTCCTAAGTGACGAGCCGCCCCGAATACGAGTAAATATCGTCCGTAGACAGCGCCTGGCTCGCGGCATCGTTTCGTACAGTCTCGCACGAGCGAAGCGATTCCTGCGGGGGCATCCCGCCGCCGCACAGTGGGGCCAAACGACATTTCGTGTTTCAAAAAAGGCTACAGTCTCGAAATGTTAACCGATTTCGATGCTTTTTTTTTAAATGAAAGCTAACAAAATTTGCAATAACTTTGTGGAGGTAGATTTTTGTTTTTTGTTTTTTTTTATTATTAAATTACACATAAAACAATTAAATTTGTAAAATATAATGACTGAACAGCAAGTAACTCTTCAACAGTAAATATTTTCTGTAACTTAACATCGGGCACTGATATAGTTGAAATTAAACATTCAAATCCTGATTTAGGAACCATAAAGTTTGACCTAACTTCACAAAATGTTACCTTAACAAATAAAATTGATATGATAAAAATAATATAAAATTTTAATAAATTAGTAAATTAGTGAATTAATTAAAAGTAACACTAAATTATTATTATAAATTCGTACTTATTAAATAACTATTGTTCGTCAAGCAACAAGTTTTGAGCTTCCGCATCTATTGGAATTGGAAAATGCTTCCATTCGTTACGAATTTATAATAATAATTTAGTGTTACTTTTAATTAATTCACTAATTTACTAATTTATTAAAATTTTATATTATTTTTATCATATCAATTTTATTTGTTAAGGTAACATTTTGTGAAGTTAGGTCAAACTTTATGGTTCCTAAATCAGGATTTGAATGTTTAATTTCAACTATATCAGTGCCCGATGTTAAGTTACAGAAAATATTTACTGTTGAAGAGTTACTTGCTGTTCAGTCATTATATTTTACAAATTTAATTGTTTTATGTGTAATTTAATAATAAAAAAACAAAAACAAAAATCTACCTCCACAAAGTTATTGCAAATTTTGTTAGCTTTCATTTAAAAAAAAGCATCGAAATCGGTTAACATTTCGAGACTGTAGCCTTTTTTGAAACACGAAATGTCGTTTGGCCCCACTGTGCGTCGTCTCGGGAATCGGCCCGAAATGTGCAACTAATTCCGAGCGCTGGAATAAGATAATAAAAATTCAAGCTGTTTTGTTACTTTCTCCAGTAATAGTGCAAATTGCAAACAAGAATGCAATTATTCGAGTATAATGTGCTTAGCAATTGTGCACATAATAAATATTGACAAATGAAAGACATATTGACAATATTGACAAAAGACAGTGGATATTTTGATTTTGTGTAATGACAAATAACAATTAACAAATTTACTCACCGATCGTTGTAGGCTAGTTAAAAGTTGCATAGTGTGCGTAGGCTGTTGAAAGTTTTCACAGCTGCATCTAAAAAAAATTAATATATAGTTTAATTACTATGAATTATATCATACATTTTTTATATGTTTGTAATAAACTGCGTAAATATATTATTTAAAATTTAATGTACATTTAATAAACACTTCAATAAATATTGTAATAAATGTATAATATATTTAAGTAATATACTTGTGTGCACTAGCGGATCCTGATGTCGATAATGGGGGGGGGGAGG